AGGTGACACAGAGCTAACACGCGATCTGTGCTCTATGTTCTACGTCATGTGCCCAGCACAACTCCCCTATAAGTGCCCCGCGGCACAGCTCATCAGTGACAGCAGGTGACACGGAGCTAACATGTGATGTGTGTTCTGTGTTCTACATCATGAGCCCAGCACAACTCCCCTACAAGTGCTCGTCGGCACAGCTCATCAACGACAGCAGGCCACACCCCAGGCTTCTGTCGGGACGGGGAAGGACGTGGGACATGGTTTGGGAAATGTCATATGAAATGGTGGCACCAGAAAGGCCTTCACGGCATAGCCCTTGGATCAGTTTGGGTTACAGCCACAGCCCTGTGGCCCAGAAGTGCACGGGGCCGCCTGGCTGGTCTCCTGTGGGCCTCTGCCCTGAAGGGTGCTGGGGGTGTCTGCGTGATCACCACCACTCCGCGGGTGGCACCACTCTGAGCGAGACACACGGCGACCCCCGGCCTCTCTCTGCCAGCTCGAAAGCCGGCGCGTGGACCAGACGGCGTTCCTTGTGTGTGAGGCCACGGTGGCACCTCAGCTGACATGACCCCATCCTGCACAGACAAGGTTCCTTCCAACATCTCTGCATCGACCTCAAGTTCACCTCCCGTAAGAAACATGGCAACAAGTGGCCTGGTACCAAGGCCAAAGCTACATTAACACGACCGTTTTTACGAATTTTTTTGCAACGGCAAAAAACAAACCAGAAGGGGCGCATGGGGGGCTCAGTTGGGTAAGCATCTGATCCTTGGTTCCGCTCAGGTCATGATCTGGCGGTTTGTGAGTTCAAGCCCCGCGTTGGGCTGTGCGCCGACAGCACAGAGCCTGCTTGAGATTCTCTGTCTCCCTTTCTGCTCCTCCCCACTGGTACACACTTTCTCTTCCACTCTCTCTGAAAATAAGTAAACAGGCTTAAAAACACAACATCTACAACGAACAAAGATTTGGTTTTGTTTCTCAACACAGACTTACATCCTGTTTTACAAGCTCATGATGGTTTACGTTCCCAGGACTTCCGAACGTCTGACTGAGGGACGTCGTTCTGGAGATGGGTGGGTGCTGCGTGAATTCCGTACACACCACAGAGCACAGGTGCACAGGCACCGTCAGGCGTGATGGGGCCAGCGGACGCGGCTGAGGGATGAGATCCTCAGCAACGTTCACAACTGCCATCAACGGGCGACAAGCTGGGGGGTGTCCACATGCTCGCGGTAGATACTGCAACAGAGGCAGGGAGTGGGGGCAGCACAGAGCCTCTAAGAGTGGGACGCAACGCTTCAGCAGGGTCGCTCTCTCTGCACCGGCACCCAGAACACCCCACAGGCAGCAGACAGGGCCTACAGGGCCTAGCCGCTGGCTAACCCGGGATTAGCTGCTGGCTAACCCGGGATTAGCGGCTGGTTAACCCGGGATTAGCGGCTGGTTAACCCGGGATTAGCGGCTGGCTAACCCAGGACCACTTAATCCAGGATGGCAGCAGGAACCAGGATACCAAACCCCATCCTCAGTTTTGCTTCCTAATTCACAAATCATCTTCAGTCTGGTTTAATTTGCTGACTTCCCCTAGGATGTGGTCATTGAGTATTTCTTTTTAAATTATACTGATTTCACTTTTTTTTTAATCCTAATTTGGCCATCATACGTGGCCGCGTCCCTCCTGGAAGGCAATGCGTTCGCTCCGTGGGGACACAGAAAGGCTGACTTCACGTGACCTCTCAGAACTTCTCCGTCAAAACAGTCTCCCTGGAATATTCTAGACAAAGCAGCAAAACGTGCCGCTTGCATCGTGGGGTGAGTAACTGAGTGGGAGCCCCAAGGAACAAGGCCCCGTTACATGCTTTCGCTGTAAATTCTACACCAGCAATCTGCTCTCCAAGGTGCGTGTGCTCATCCGGAGGCTGCGTTATCCCGTGTTCGACCGCGTGAGGGCCGATGTGCTGTACGTCACGGAGCCTGGGTGTGATGGTTTTCAGAACAGAGCTCTACCCAGAGGCAGCAGACGTGGCCCACACAGCACAGCCACGTCCTCCTCCAGGAAAAGCACGCTGGGGCCTCCAAGAATTATTCAGGTTATGTGAACTCCCAGAAAAGGTGTGAATTACCAGTGCATCAATTTTGTGTTCGATTTTTGTTCTTTCCGGCTTGGGCAGTCTTCATCTCCAGAACCTACCGGAATTTCATCGTCTGGTAAGGGCACAAAAGGGTAACTTCACATATTTCTGCCACGTGTACACAGCGAAACCCACGTGGGCAACCCACGAACACGACTCTCAGACGGAGGCTCCGGGGACGTGCCAGCACTGGACGTGCAGGAGTGTGGGAACGCCGCCGGCAGTCACAGGCACCAGTGTCCAGAGAACGACACAGCCCAGCGGCCTCCAACCGGCGCACCTCCGTGCCTATAGCGTGAACACCGAGTCCCCCGAAGCCGCAGCCAACTAACGCTTGTCTCCAGGAAGCACCGGCCTGAGGGTAAGACCACCGGTAAAAGTTCAAGGGAAGACGTGGGGCTTGGGCCTTCTCATTCTCTACATCACAAAATGCAACGAGAATCAGACCAATTTGGGGGCACCTGGGTGGCTCAGTCGGTTGATGTGGACTCCGGTCATGTCTCAGGGTCGTGAATTTGAGCCTCTGCATCAGGCTCTGAGGTGATAGCCTGGAGCCTGCCTGGGGTTCGCTCTCTCTCCGCCCCTCCCCTGCTCTAGTGCGTGCCGGCTTGCTCTCTCTCTCTCTCTCTCAAAATAAATAAATAAACTCAAAAATTTTTTTAAACATCAGACCAATTCTGGACCACGTCTTTCTGAGGACTGTACCCCACAGCCACTGAGGAGACGAGACAAAGACAACAACATTCCGAGCGTAGCGGACTTTGCTCTAACCACCCACCCCCCTCCAAGGCCGCTACACAACCTTCACGGAGAGTCTGAGACGCAGGTCAGGCGTAAGATGCCCCCGGACGTTGGTGAAATTCGGGAGAACACGCGTCACCCGAAGGCTCCCGCCCCGATCTGGCCTGGAGGCTTGCTGGTTCTCCACAGCCTGACGGCGACACGGAAATGAAGACCCACGACCGAGGGGACGTGTGCTGTGACCACAAGGACAGAGCCGAGCCCCGTCGGACACCGGCGTCCGGCCTGTGGAGGGTGGGCTCGGGGAAGCGTCTCACCGCACAGCCTCTCGGTCCCGCCAGAGCCCAGGTGGGTCTGTGACAGCACAGGAGAGCCACGCAGAGGGAGGCAAGAGAGTCCTTGACTGGAGGGTGAAACCAGCCACGAAGACGCTCGTGAGAAATGAAGGAAACACCCCCATGTGTGGGTCTGTAAACGCAGCGTGGACGTGAGGGCAAGTGAGGACAGGGACAGAGCTCAGCCCTACAAGAAGGGGCCCAGCCCGTGGCACTCGTGGGCTAGCCCGTGGGGGGTCTGGAACCGCCTTGACCTTGAGCAACAAGGGCAAGATGGCAGCAGGTCCGGGGCTCCCCTGGGGCTGCTTGGCCAGTGAGGCCAGCAGGGCCGCGGGGTCAGGACTCTGGGGGCTCAGAGGGCAGTCCCCCGGACGGGCCGGCCGCTCACGGGCACGACAAGAGCCTGCCCGACACACCATCTGATACGACGGATCCGGACTGCACACACCTGCTCCACCACCTGGTGTGCAAAAGGGAACACACCAGGTCCCCAGGGAAGTGCCCGTAAACCAGCGTTTTCTTATACGCAAGCTCAAAAATTGTGTCAATCTGTGCTCCTCGCAAAACAAAAGCGCCCTATGTTACTTAAGAAACGATTTGTACACAGCTCGTCCTATGGATTAAATCTCCCGGGGCGCCTGGGTGGCACAGTCGGTTAAGCGTCCGGCTTCAGCCAGGTCACGATCTCGCGGTCCGTGAGTTCGAGCCCCGCGTCGGGCTCTGGGCTGATGGCTCGGAGCCTGGAGCCTGTTTCCGATTCTGTGTCTCCCTCTCTCTCTGCCCCTCCCCCGTTCATGCTCTGTCTCTCTCTGTCCCAAAAATAAAATAAACGTTGAAAAAAAAAAATTAAAAAAAAAAAAAAAAAAAATCTCCCGACCACCACACACGCGTGCACATGTGGAAACCATGAAGTGGAGAATGCGTTAGCTTGGTTGCGGCGAGCCCTTCACGACGTGCACACGTGTGCAAACAACAAGCCACACGGCCGGTGCGGTTTTACGTGCCAGTCACCCCAGTACAGACACGAAACACAACCAGGGGGCAGCTGTCCCTCGCTCGCCGAGCCCCAAACAAACGTGTCTTGTCACCGTCCCCGCTTCCCACTGTCCTCTCTGCCCCCAGCCGGCCCGGCCCACCTTCCAACTGCAGTGTACTTCCCCTGGTCAGAGGCCAGCCTTTCTGGAACCTGAACCCAGACTATTCATTTCTCAGTGTGTCAACGGTGACCGTTCCTCCAGTACCTTCCGCTCAAGCTACAGACATCTTCAACACTGTCACTGACCCATCTGCCACCAACCCACCAAGTAGCCACCAACCCACCGGCAACCCACCACCAAATCTGCCCTGAGTCTATAAGAATCTGAGAACTTGTTTCACTACCGACATGAGCAGGGGACCCAGAAAACTTCTAAGAGCTTTTTTCCACGCTTAAGTACTTGCAGAATTTAAATGTCATCCGACACGTAATCCCGATTAAGAGGCAACTTGATCGGGGTTCTCTAACCTGCTCAGCCTTTCGTGAACTTTTCCAAAGTGAATCCTAAATTCAGTGCCTTTACTATCCTGGTTCTCCCTGCTCTCAAACACCAGCAGCAGAGCTCCTCTTTCACACATACACACACACACACACACGCACAGGCGTGGTGCACACACCACACCCACACTCACCCACACCCACACTCACGTGTGCAAGCATGCTCACGTACACACAACAGCACTCCAGGTACACACACACTCTCACCGCCTGCGAGCACCCATGCACACAACACCCCCAGGTGCATACAATGCGTGCACACGCACACACACCGGCACTCGGGCTGTGCGCGTGGCCGTCCCCCGCCCGGTGCTCCTCTTCTGGCCGCTTGGATACGCACTGCAGGGCTCTCTGCGCTCTTGACGCCCCCTCTGACTCTGCACAACCCTCTCACCTCCTGACGGTGGTACCTGACTCTGTCTGCCCTGTCCCCCTGTCCCTCATCGCTCGCCGGGAGGGCAAAGTCCCACACAGGCCCCTTTCCCGACTCGTCGTCCGCATGCCAGCCCCTCCTTCCAATTTCCCACGGGGCTCCTTCGCTCAGCACCACACATGCTAGCTTCCTCCAAGCCGGCTCTGTGGGACCCAGTGTCGCTGATGACTTTACGTTCTTCCCGAAAACCCAGGCCCCAAATCTCAGGCTTTCTGGCCCTTCCTCTCCCCAATCGGTCCCGCCGCAGGTGACTCTGCTCACTGCCGCTTGCCGGGGTGCGTCCCTCGGGACCACAGGACGGCCCGCCACCCTCCCGTCCTCGCAGCCCGCTGCCGGGAAGCCCCTTCCACACTCATGACCGCACAACCTTCCCAGCCTCCTCCTTCCCTCTGCCCCTCCGCCCTTGCACAGCAGCCACCTGCTTACGCATGTCCGTCACACGTGGACGTGCCCCAGCTACAAGCCCGTACACACCAGCGATGCGTTCCGTGTACGACCTACACGCATGCAGGCACCAGGTACGCGCTCACACACACTAGCTGCAAGTTCGTTTATACGTGACATAGACACACGTTAACTACACGCCTATATGTACCAGATATGGGAATACACTCTAGCCCCATGGGTGTCCACACCAGCTACACGAAATACAAACGTATACATATTGGCTAGAAACTTATACACACTGGCCACACACCGGCAACATGGTCCTCGCATGTGCTAGGTGCCTGTTTGCACTTACTGGCTACACGCTTATGTACACACTTGCATATGTGTTTATGCAGACACATATGTATGTACACACACTAGCTACACGTTCACACGTGCCAGCCACGTGCACACACATACCAGCCACATGAATCTACCCACATGAGCCACATGCACACGCACACGCGAGCCACACATGTATACACACTCGCCACCCAGACACACACACACACACACAAGCTACTTGCTGCCCCACAGCCGCACTCCTGCACCTTTGCTGGTTTTGTCCCCTGTCCCACCCCCCCCACCCCCGCTAGCGGCATCCTCCCTGCTCTGTGCCTGGTGGCCTCCCAGCCGAGAAGCTGCGTCTCTGGCTTCCCTTGGGAGCTGTCCCCGCCCCAGCAGATCTTTTCCACCTCTCTGTTCTTCAGTTTGCTCCCAGGGTGGGGTCTTACCAGGCTTAACTGGCGCACACGGGCTATGATCAACGGCTCCTGACCTACAAAAGTGGTTCTTGAATACGGTTCCATGCCAGCGCACAGAGTCGCGGTACGCACAGCGCCCTCGCCCGGAAGAGCCGTGCCTGGAAGGGCCGCGCTTGCGCGCCAGCGCCCTAGCCTGGAAGGGCCGCGCCTGCGTGCCACGTCCCCCGCCGTGTCCTCCCTCGTGGGGCCCGCCCCCCCCCCCCCGCCCCCAGGTGCAGTTACCTGGCAGCATATGGTGCACAGGCGTGGCTATGTTGATGTCCTGCAGATGCTTGAGCGTCTCCGTGTGGAAGAGGCGGAGCGTGGACCCAGAGGTGAAGGCGATCCAGATCCCCACGCCAGCGACGACCATGTGAGAGACCACCATGCCTTCTTCCTGGTGGGCGTCCAGCTGATTCTGGAGAGATCAAGGAGAAGCGGTGGACGGGGCAGCGGGTGCACCTTGGAGCCTTGCCCACCGCGGAGGCAGAGCCCAGCAGTCCCCGGGTGGGGGGCGAGAGCAGGAAGGTGGGAGGGACAGAGGGACGGAGCGGGCAGAGGGACGGAAGGCCCGGGAACAGGGAGACACGATGGCCAAAGGAGGCCGGCCAGCGCCCCCGACTTTGGTGGGGAGTCAGCAGCCCTCCCCCAAATCCTGAGCAGGAACGGAGGTCCACACCCCGGCCTTGGGCGGCCCCGAGACGGCCTGTCTGACCCCACCGCTCCCAGAGCTCCTGGGCTGCCCACGGTGTCTGGGTTTGCAGTCGCCCCTTGCCTGCCCACAAAGGCCACCCGCTACTTCTCTGTGTGACCAGGTCCTTCCTCCCGGGCTTCTGGCCGAGCTCTGTCCCGTCCACATCTCCATCCGGACAACCCTGCTCTATGGGGACCCAAGGGGACAGATTTTGTGACTTGGTCCCAGCGCGGATGGGCCGGCACTGGGCAGCTGGCGGTGTGGTCTGCTAGGTCTGGAGGAGGGGTGTGAGCCTGGAGACTCCGTGTGAAGACACGGGGTCCTCAGGGCAGACCAAACCCCACACGGTCCTCCCCACACGGTCCTCCAGATGAAAACCCTGGAGGCTGAGCCACACGGGAAACAGGTGGGCTTACTTCTCTGACTCAAGGGCTGGTCCCAAAAGTCTAAGCGCAGGGGGCGCTGTGTAGAGCCCGCTGAACTGCCCGCCTTCCCCGGCTGCTCCTCTTGGGCTCATGACATGGTGGTCACTACTCCCTGGGGGAGGAAGGCACATCCGGGGGGAGGGTCGTGCACGTTACGGAAGCTCGGGAATCAAGGAGCAAAGCCACATTCTGTCCTTGCCGCGGACACTCCAGGAAAGACAAGATAGCACAGGTTGCTGGCCCTCAAATCCCGGTTTCTAATTCAGCAGGTTGAGGGTGGGGCCCAGAACTAGCATTTCCAGAATGTTCCGAGGGCCCGCCACTGCTCCACACCCCCTTTTTTCCACTGCTTTCCGGCAAGTTACTTTATCCATTCACTGCAGTTTGTCCTCCTTTCTGTCCCGAGTCACGTCACATGCGGCCTTGATGTGCTCCCAAGATGCCGCGGGCACATCTCCGGTGCTGCTGGTGCACGCTGTCCGCGACTGCCCGCTGACGTGTCTCCTGCACTTCGCGGCCGGTGGCCTGTTCTCCCAGAACCAGCTCGTCCTGCAGGCCTGCGGGTCCTGTGGGCCCCCCGCCCATGTGCGTGGTCTCCAGCAGCACCCCCTTCAGAGGGGCCGGCAAACCGGCCTTCAGAGAGCACGGACTTCCTGACATCGGTGGCTCACCATCCACCCAGCGTGGTGGTATCCTGCCCCGGCCAGATGTGGCTGCTGTCGTGGGACACCTCCCGCCCTGGCGGCCATCTGCGATGCTCACAGGGACCGAGGAATAGCCCTGAGCTCGTCTGTAATGAACGTGAGGTCCCTTCCGACCCCACCTGTGCCGCCCTCTCTTCCCACCAGGCTCTCAGGCTCCCCCGACCTTTCTCGCACGTGACGGGCCTCCCTCCTCACAGGCTCTACGTTGTCTCCTTCCAGGAATTCTGCTTGGCTGGGACAGCCGGCGGCATAGGGCTCTCGGGCAGAAATAATCCAGCGTTTCTGTCCTGCCCTGTGTGTCCCTGGCATCAAAGCCACGATTCCGCTCTTTCCTGCCAGCTGCCTGGCGCGGCCAGAGCCACCGCTGGCTGACTTTCTGCCAGCTGCAGGAGGTGGGGTCTTGCAGGACGCTGGACTGGCACATCAAGGACAAGCCACAGAAAAGCTAGTTGCGGTTCAACGGAAAGCGCATCGACCTCGAGCCCGTCTGGGACCCAGCGCGTCCAGGTGTGGCACCTGGTGACTTCCCGAAGGCCTGCTGTCCTGTGCCGCCCTCGGGGGTCTCGCGCAGTCTAACACCATCCACCCAGGCCCGCACGGACTCGGTGTTACTCTGACCGCGGTCAGCCCACGCTCTGTGACGTGAAGGAGCTCCTACAACGGGCTGGAGGCTTACGGTCCACCTTCTGACGTTACAGAATCTGCCACCAAGCGTGTCCATGAACAGGTTTCACGAATGTCTTGAAATGTGTCTCAATGAGTGCTGGCAAAATGTCTTCAAGCCCCTGTCCTGGCTGAACCGGTGACCCTTCCTAAGGAGAGTCTAGACAAATATTTTTGGAAGTCCATGATGACTAAAGTTGATCACGAGTTTGTGGAGATTGGCAATAGTCATTCCAAAATGCCCTCAGGGCCCTCACGGGGATGACGGGGACCCTCCCCTGAACAGATTCCTTTCTCTACCACCTTGGGTGTGATGCTCAGAGGAGTTTTTATCTGTGACAGGATTTGTTTCATTGGTGGAAAAAAAAAACAAAACCTTTGCTATCTGAATTCATTTAGAGGTGAGAAACGGTCATGTGTAGACAGAAAATAATTAGGTACATGCAACTTTTAATAAAAAAAGAAATATATAAAATGGGCAAAAAATTCAAAGGTATAATAAGTAAAATTCTTTCTCTCTCATCCCTGCTACCCTGCTTAGGACGGCTTTTTGTGTGTCTCTGAAAGTACACGCACGTGCACGTGTTAAGCAACTGCTAACAACAGGTAATACATAAAGCGCTCTGCGGGCACCCTCTTGTAGTGTATGTTCACACAACAACACTCTGCAACCTGCCCCTCCTCCGCTTAACTGAACACCTGCCAGCGCTGCCCGCTCTTTCTCTCCTGCCACTGCCAGGTATGACGTTATTTACCTAGTTCCCCCACTGGTGCTCGTTGGGTATTTTCAATTATTCGTGGTATCACACAACGCGGTGATACGTGACCTCACCCACACACGCATGAGCTTATCTAAGGAGCAAACGTCTAGCGGTGGCATTGCCAGGAAAAGGATTGAGCCCTTTGAATGCCAGACGCCAACGCGGGATTGCCTTCCGGAGACGCCGCACAGCGGCCTCCCTCCACTGGCTGAGTCCCGGAGCCCTGGACTTGCCCGGGACCAGCCACGACGTGCCCACAGCTCGCCAACGCTGGAAAGTGAGAAGGTTTCACCTTTCGCCCATTTGAAAAATGGCTCCTTGTTACAACAAGCGCTTTCTAGAGATGAGGCCAACGCACGTACGCCTGTACGTACGGGTAAACACGTGTGTGAGTACACTGGCCGGGTGTACGAACACATACATGTGCGCTGCACGATTCTTAGTTTAGTGCCCTATTCGTATTTTTCTCTAAGCTGCCTTATGTCCTCTGAACATTTTTTACTAGCTTGGCTTCTTTCTCTTAAAGTTAATAAGAATTCTCTTTAATAAGAACATTACCTCTCAGCCACAGATGTGGCATATATTTTCTTCATTTTCATTTACAGAAGTTTCTATACAAACACACACTTATTAAATGTGCACAGAAAATGTTCTAAAACCGCACCAAATTTATTTTCTTTATTATGGCAACTTCTAGGCATGTGTCATGCTTGGAAAATCTCTCCCGCTACAAAGTAATGAGAACATCGTACTGCTTTCTATCTAAGTTTATGATTTTGTTTATGTTTTTAAAATTACCTCCATCTGTAAAGTTTACAAGGGAAAAGGCTCGGGGCCAGAGGCACGGCTCCACATTTCCACATGGCCCGTTGTCTCCTGATCCTTTGTTGAATAACCCACGGATTGCACTGATTGGAAAAGGCCACTTCGATCAAATGTCAAGTCTGCCCATGTCCTTGAAGACTCTCTATTATGTTCGTACTGAGCACGTTTTTTAAAGTAACGTGTTTGTGGTCGTTAGCAGATAAACAAGCAACAGTTCTTTCATGGGCGCGTGGCTAGAGGACGGTTAGCTGAGTTATCTACTTAATCTGGTCTTTCCCAGACTTCCCTCCCAAATCTAGGAGGAATTTTCTCTCCGTGCAGGGCCACATGCAAGAGGCTGCCAGCATCAGCTACAGGCCAGAGGCCCTCTGACCGCCAGCATCGGAGTCTAACTGGGGCCAGCTCTAAGATGCGTCTCTTCTGTGCCACGCACTCAAGGGGCTTACCTCTATTGTGTGGGTCTCGGCGCTGATCGTAAAAACTTGACCTCCCGAAGCTGCCCATAACGTGTCCTCCGTCATTACGAGACTTCTAACTGGTAGCACGCCTAGTTTTATCACTGTCTGAGGTTCGGGACTCCAGGACCCATCTTGAAAAACAAAAATTTTACTTTCAAATTCAGTTATCTGTACACAGGGAGTAGGGACAGGATCCCAGCTCATTTTAAGTAACAGGCAAAATATCATCGGTAACCGTGACGTTCACACTTGGTGCTGGGCGTCCAGAGTTCCACGAGCACCATTTCCACGAGGCAACTCAGCACGGTGGCAGAGCCCGGAGTGTGCACGACCCCAGCCCGGCCACCTGGCGCGTGTCCCGCACAAACGGCCCGCGAGGTGGCTGTGACAGTGTGAGGCATGACGAGGTGATCGATCAGCTCAGCAAGGTGCCCGGCGCCCAGGTGTCTCATACGCCCTGTCATCTACAACGCCAATACACGAAATGACCCCGTCGTCAGGAGGAGGGTCCACACCCACACGGTGCGAGCCAACGTCCGCACCTCCCACTGCCTGCTCGCTCTTTTGAGCTTTCCCTTGATACGCATCCTGTATCATCAGGATGGACCGTATCTTCCCTGCATTAGAACAGTAAGTCAGAACTGGGAGGAGAGGCTTTCGCTCGCTACGGTCCTGAAGCACAGGCCCTGATGAAATATGTCGCTTTGCAAATACTTTCAAGGATCTAAGGATGAGGTCTGTCATACTTCACATGAAGTAGAGTCAACAAACAACTTGGAGAGCGGTAAAAAATATGTAAAGCAAGACTAGACACACGTTTTCAACGTGACTACATAATTGTCCTGTGAAAATTTAAAATAAATTTTTCAATTTTCAAAGCAACCACTAATTAAGCCATCATGCCTAAAAACATCTTTAAAAAATTGTTTTTTACATTTATTTATTTTTGAGAGACAGAGAGAAACAGAGCACAAGTGGGGGAAGGGCAGAGAGAGAGGGAGACACAGAATCCCAAGCAGCTCCAGGCTCTGAGCTGTCAGCACAGAGCCCAACGCGGGGCTCGAACCCACGAACCGTGAGATCGTGACCTGAGCTGAAGTCAGACGCTTAACTGACTGAGCCACCCGGGCGCCCCTATGCCTGAAAGCATTTAATGGTTCATCCACCAGTGCCTCTGACTTCCTAATCAAAACAGAGCTTTGCTCAGGCACAGTCTTGGTTCCGAACCAAGTTCTGCCTTCTGTGTTCTAGATCTGAAGCACTGAAACTTTTAATCCAATCCCTCTTTATGAATAACTTTAGCTGAGGTTGTGCAACCACCAGGAGGCAACCAGGCAGGTTCTGAATTCCATGGCACACTTTCAAGTTATAATTCAACTTAAATGGAGATGCTTTTATGCTACAATTAAGGCAAAAGATGTTGCAGGACAATTACTGGTTCCAGTGGACAATGACCTGTAAAATCATTTGTAAAATCTGCACTGGACCCGGAGTATCATCGCGTGGTTACACATGCGTGCACACACAAGCACACGCTCGCTAGCAGTCACACGTGCACATACATACACACAGAAGCACACAGGCCTTTTCATCCGGGACTCAGAGCCCTTTGAGACCCCGCAGTCTCCACTTGCAATGGGATCACAGAGGCTCCGAGCTGAGATGCGATTCTCCCCAACACTCGCATGGGACTGAGAGAGCGGGGCTGTGGATCCCTGCTGCCCCTGCCCCCCGGGGCCTGCCCCCCCCCCCCCCCGATGTGGCCACATCCTCCAAATCAAGACGCCTGCTGCTGTCAAGTTATTTTGGTTTGGGACTAACTTCTAACAACTGAACTTTGTTTTCCGACCACCTAAGTCATTCCTTCTACAGATCCCGTGCACAAAATCCTCTGAGGGCCATGGGGAGGGCACAATGTCGGTCCCTGGGATGCGGGCCTCAGCTCCAGCTGACACGCCACCTGTCTGGGGACAGCCTCTTTCTACAGTCTTCCCTCCAGACCTGAGTCCTCAACCAGGCTGTCCAACCACAGCTGGGTGCAAACCCATGCCAATGACATTTTGAACCCACACTTAAAAATCTGGAAATTTCCTACAGAACATTCCAGATTTCGAACGCCCTGAAAAGTCAGATGCTTGCAGCAGTGCCTGGCTGAGAAGCAGCCTTTCCCCCCCCGGCTAGGCACATCGTCACCCCTCAGAGAACACGACGGTGGGGAAGAGACACCTCTCCAAAGAAGACATTCAGACGGCGGACAGGTACGTGAACTTGCGGTCAGCACCACACATCATCAGAGAAATGGATTGAAAGCACAATGGGCCATCGCTCCACACTTGTGAGGATGACATCATCAAAGACACAAGAAACAACAGGTGTTGGCGAGGATGCGGCGAAAGGGGGACCCTCGTGCACAGCTGGTGGGAATGCAAACCGGTGCGGCCGCTCTGGACGACAGTGTGGAGGCTCCTCAGGAGATTAGAAACAGAACTACTCTACGACCCAGCTGCCCCACTTCTGGGCTCTTACCCGAAGGACACGCGAACAGTAATTTGAAAAGGCCTGTCCGCCCCATGTTCACACGGCATTATTTACAATCGCCAAGACACGGAGAAGATCCAAGTGTCCCCCAACGTGTGAATGGACAGAGATGTGCTATACATACAACGGAATGTCATTCGGCCATAGAAAATGAGCAAATCCTACTGCTTGTAACGTAGGAGACAGGTCAGACAAAGACAGACAAACCCGCTAATGGCCCTCGGCCGCCCTCAGGAGGGGCACAGACCCCTGCTCCCCGCCCTTTCTAGCCTGCGCCCTTCCCGGGGTCCCGCAGCGGCCCGGCCCCCTGGCCGAGCTCCACAGGATGGGCACCTCCAGGCTGGCTCCACGGCCTTCCCGCACACGACTCTGACCCCAGCACCCCCCAGCGTTCTCTGGGTGCCCTGAGAGCTATGTTCACCTCTGGGTACTGTTCTGTTCACCCCCCGGGCATGAGGAGTACGACCTGTGCCCATCTGCAGCCGCTGGTGACCAGCTCAGGGTCCCCTGAACCAGCCAAAGCTCAGACTGTCCCTGAGATGGTGACTGACCCCAGTACAGAGCCGGGGGGAGGGGGGTTCCCGAGGTGGACCACAGGCGGGCAGGAGCCAGGGCGGGGGTGGGGGTGGGGTCCCGAGGGGGACCCCCGGCGGGGCGGGGCCGGGGGGGGGGGGCATTCCCAGGGTGGACCACAGGAGGGCAGGAGCCAGGGTGGGGGATCCCGGGGCGAACCACAGGCAGGCAGGCAGGTATCAGGAACAGAAAGGACCCAGGGGGGCCAGGCAACCCCCATTCCTTAAGGGGCCTCAGCCCTTGGCTTCCCTCACTCAACCCTTCCGATAAATTTGCCATTTTACTTTTCCTCGTCGGGGACCCAACTGGACACGGGGCTGCCCAGTTGCCGTGGAAACCAGCCAGGATGTGCAAACCGCCCGGACTGGGCAGAGGAAGGGTAGGTAGGGCGCTGAGCGCTCACGTACCGTGTCAGGTGGGGCCCCGTGACAGGATCAGCGCCCTTGCAAGGGGACGCCCCAGAGCGCGTGCTCCGTCCGCCGCGTGAGGACCCTGTCCCGCGGTGGGGAGGCGCCCTCCACAGCAGAAAGCGACTCTCCCCAGGGACCCGCTGACACACCCTGCTCAGGCCCCGCTCTGTGGCATCTGCTATGGCGCCCGAGCCAGCCAAGACACGACGTCTTAGCGCTGAGGCCCCGGGGCGGCAATCCCACGTGTCCGTGGAACCCCCGGACGAGAGGTGCAGGGAGGCCTGCCAGCCAGGGGTGAGGTGAGAAGGAGCCCCTGAGAACAAGAGCTTCCGCAAAGGGGCGACAATCTGTCCAATCAGAACTGGCAGGAGCAGGTGTGGACACAAGGCCCCCTGCCTCTGCCTCTGAGAGCCGCAGCCCGGGGGGACCCGGGGGCCCCGGGGGCCCCGGGGAAGAGACGCCCACCAGCCCCTCTGCTGTCACCGGAAGCCACTGGAATGCTCAGCCAAGCCTGTGACAAGAGAAGGAGCCTGAGGAGGAGGGACGATGGCCGGGCTGGTGGGCTGGTGACAACCTTGCGGAGCCGCTCACCCGGATGGCCTGCAGTGCCCCCCCTCCCCCGGGTAAGAGAGCCTTGCGGGGCCGGGGGACAGGATCGTGGCTGCGGGGAGACAGACGCACACAGAGGAAGGTACTTGGCAGCCTGCTAAGGGGTCACCAGGAGACCGTCCTCTGAAACAGCTTCCCGCCCGTGCGGCCGGGGTGCTTCTTTCGGGGCTGGGAAGTCACGTGCCTGGGACAGGTGGGGGTAAGCGCTGGCGGGGATGTGACCCAGAAGCACACAGCTCAGTCCACAGCAAACCCCCGGACACGGCCACGAGACTGGCCGCGCAGACGCACGCACAGCACAGATGCGATTACCTTCCGCCTTCTGGTAGACGGCCACAGCCCCGTTGACCAGGCCGGCATACAGGCTCTGGGCCGCGCAGGCAAGGCTCATGACCGTGGACTTGTCCGGGGTAAAGAAGTGCTGCAGACGCACCTTCTTGGAGCCTTGGCTGCTCTTGTAAATGGAGATGCTTTGAGAGAAGAATGCAAACCTTGTCAGTGCATTTGCTCGGGAAGGAAGAGCAGCCTCATCTCATCACAAAGTGCTCGTGACGCCCCAGCCCTTCCCGCCTCCTCCCGCCCTGGGCAGAAACGCTGCTGCCTCTCAGCCCCCTTCGCTTCATTTTAAAGGAGAAAGTTTGGGTTACACAGATTTTAAAAAATTACTTCTTTCAGTCTATCTTAAAACTTCATATCAGGAAAACCATGTTAACTTTCCTTTAAAAGGTGTCTGTGTTCAATATGTTTACAGCACAGACTCTGGCCGTGTTTTTTCCAAAACATGAAGAGAAAGGTACTTTTGAAATCAGGGATAAGAAGAAACACATCAGGGGAAGCACCAGGCAGCACGGGCGCACTTGCTGGCCGTGTCAAAGGTCAGCGACCCCAGCCACTCTCGCCACGCAGTGTCACCCAACGGATGGAGCAGGTGACCGTCCGGCTCCTCGTCACGGAGCGGCACGCGGGGCTCACCTCCCCTCCTCAGTGCCCAGGCAGATGGTGGGCACGCCCGGCGCCCTCCCGGCCGCGGCCCCGGGCTCCGCAGGGATGAACACCATGCACAGCGTCCGAGACTCCACGTTGAAGCACTCGATGACTTTGGGGCTGGAGCTTTGAAAGGAGACGATGGCGATCTGGCCCATCTGACTGGTGCAGCTTCCAATCTGAGGCAGGGGTGGGGTGGGGG